CTGTGGGCAAAATTATCTTCCGTACCGCATGATCTCCCCAAGCGAAAACGTATTTTGAAGGAGGAAGGGCCGACTCTCATCCGTCACTTGATTAAACGAAACAAATTCACCGGTGCAACAGAACACTGCTTGACAAATAACGTTCAAGTGAACCAGCCGGAAATAGGGTCTATGGGGACAAAAATACACAGATTTCGGGCCCCAGACTATGAGTTTTCAGGATGCTTTAACTTTCTAAACCACTCAGTTCATTCGGCTGGATAAACGAAAACAAATGACCCGGTTTCACAGGCAAGCAAACGAGCTAGTGACCCCGAGTTGAACGATGTGTTTCAGCCTGGATTTTGTCCTGGAAGTGAATCCAGCCTACACGGAAAAGCCAAGTAGTACTCTACAAATCCTTCAGCAATGCGCGTCACACGAAACTCAGAGAATGGTTAGACGCTTAACCGGTTGGCCACAATTAGCTGTTCACTAGTGTGATTGGCTTACACTTAGACAGGATATAGCACTACTCATTCTTCATTCACGGAGTGAAGCAACTTTGTGAGTTCCGCACTGCCGATCTGCCTCTGTAGGAGCGGAACAAGTTTACTGTGATTCCGGGCTTCTCAACTGGGATTGGCTCCACTCACACGACATAATCTTGATTGAAAATGACCAGACCCCTTGAAACAGTCTGTTCCACCAACCGACGGCCATAAAATGCAGGTGTCTGAAGAAGTCAATGTGAGAATGCCCGTTGTCCTTTCAAACGGCTATCGGTAGTCAACATCGAACAAGGCGTCATCCCCCAGAGCGTAATTCTCAAGTTGGAGGAGCGTCGGCATCTAAGAGAGAAAAAATGTGGTGGGAACTGTCAGTAAACCATTTAATGGGGCTATGGATCACAAAGCAGCCTGTGCTAACTATCATCTGATGTTCCGAGGCCCACAATGCATGCAAATAAACGAATCCAACTTGCATCACATTTTACCGCTTATCCTTGTCTTATTGTAAGCACGTATGCAATATTTTGGAGACGAATGCAGATTGCAAACTCTGCACGTGAAACCAGTCACCAATAGGAAGGCGGAATAGAGAATCATCGTCGTGAAATTGGTCCTAGATAAACGGTGTATGATCTCAGGGAATATTTCTCACCATATAATAGAGGCACCTTCAGCAACTGGTAGGTTTTAAGGCTTCCACTATTTGGAGATCAAAAGCGCCCGTGGTTGGTGTGGATGGCTTGCAAACAACATCGTTCCAGTAAGCATCTGAGACCAAAGTTGTAGGCATTTCGGTAGGTTAAAACCACAGCGGCAAAACGCCTTGATAGTTCACCGTGTCGGTCACCAGGCCGATGGTCGCTACTCCAAGGTATCGCACGCTGAATTGCAGTAAACCTTCAGAGGAACATGCATCATTCGTCGTGCACAAATGTCTACTTTGATGTAATAACACATGGGGACACGAGTCCTATAACTAACTGGAGAGAGTAAAGAAAAAATATCTTACATTCGAGAAATACACTTATTGGCAAATCAATTGAATTTTCACGAAAGATTCAACTAAGTCTCTCGTTTATGACATTCTACAACCAAATGTGCTGCACACAGGTTGCCTAATGATTCAGTTGCACGATATTCAGTTGGAATGCACCTACCTGATGAGCCCCAAGAAAGGCGAAACCGGTCGAAGAGTTTTCAGCAACCTTGTGAATAGTTTCCTTTACGAAAATATCTTGTATTTGTTACCGATGTCAAAATCGCAGCGAACTGAGCCTTCCATCCCAAGCAACCTGTCAGGACCATCTCTGTGTTCCCCAAATTGCTGTTTTAATGAGGGCTTTGCTGCTGAATTGTTGAAGAATGGCATGGGGTCGAAAATGGTGGATTCGTTTCGGCCTACCAGATCTCATTAGAAGTTATAACCTGTCAAGAACAGCACAATGCATTGTGGACTCTCGACAGAGAGTATTGAAAAGAATGTCTACTTGTAACTTTCTGTCCCAAGAAGACAACATGGTTACGAATGAACCTCCGTTTGATCCTTGCACAGAATAGGTCCGAGAAACTCGCAGCAGAACACCAGGGATTGTACTTTACCGATAAGTGAAAGAATTGTGTGTTTGTCGACGCCATAAACTGAGACTTGTTGTGTAACTTTGGTCATTTTTATGTAAAACGTTCCGTAGACTTTCGAACATAATTCTTCCTTTGGGTATTCGGAATAGTCAAACCTACTCACGACTTAAATTCTTGTATCAGGAACCTCAACAGTACTCAATTTCTCACGTGAGATTGTCTTGGCAGGCCTCTCTATTTGGTACAGCGTCACAGCTACACTCTCATAGTGAACTCATTCCAATTTGGTCTCTTCCCGACTCAACTGGAATTACTGGAAAGAACAGTTGAAGAGATTGGGGAAATACTTCAAAAGCGACAATTTCTAAGACCGAGATAAGTGTTACTTATGTCACTCAGATATTAAAAGAAGAATGCAACACCTGACCACATAACCTCAGAAGGGGATGACAACCGGTGAGAGTGGTTAAATCGGGTGTGCTCCGACAAAACTAACGATTAGGAAGTCTCCCCATAAGAAAGCAATCATCAGGCAGTTTGTGGCTCTTTGAAGTGCGCTCCAAATACTATGGACAGCAAATTTGTTTTCAGAAGATAATTGTGCTCATTCATAAGCAGGCCTTTTGGGGTGCGATCCGTCAACTACCAGTGAGCAGACCGTTCCACCACTGATACAGTGTGCTATGCCAAGTCTGCTCATCCCTCAGCGAAACCATGCGTATTTATATTATCAACAGCCAACCAGTTTCCAAAGAGTGCCTCAAGTTTTTGAAATTTCTGTTCTGGAAAAGACGCCTCGAAACCAGGCTCGATAGCAGTTCATTTTGTGTGTACGATAGGCCGTGACAAAGATGAGTTGGTAACTTGGGGGCTATTTTATACTATCTTTGAGCTTTGTCAATTACCTGTCGCCTATAAGCCAGTGTTTTATATCCACACACACAGTACTGTTTGTCAAGTGAGTACTATTCGTTTTATACAGTACGTTGTACTCCTACCGCGTCCCCTCATTTGTTCATCTATTGTATTTTACTTAGTACACTACTCCTATAGGTTTCCGGGGTTCATATGGTCATTGTTCCTTTTTGCCTTTGTCCTAATGCAGCTAGTGTGTCATGGTTGAATTGAAGTGGGCAGTAATGATTCTTACCTGACGTACGATAACTCCCCCATTCATTAGATAACACCATCCGCCTACCTTTGATCTCTACCGGTCTTGCTCCTCCGTATCCACCATTCACATTGCCACAAAGGTCGCTCCGTCCGACATTGGCAGACTAACAGGTGTGTATATGTGCTCCTGACCCACTTACAGAGGCTAGTTGGTAACTCGTCTACTGAGACTGCTCTGACTTGGTCTCTCGGGATTTCCAGATGATGCGCCGCTAATTGAAATCACGGGGCTGGCCTCGGAAGGGATGACCGCAACCCATACTACCAGTCCAAACCGCCGCCCGTCGTTTCTGGTGTGCTCACCTCGACTCTGCACCGCGCCATCCAATGGTAAGACCTTGCATGTGTCGATGCAACGAACGTGAACAACTGAGGTTTGCTCTTTAATTCAAACTACTTTTTGTAAATAGCATCTTAGACATTTGAATCCAATAGTTCCTTTTCTCACGCGGGACTGACAAACCCCACTGGGTATAGGACAAGAGGCAACTCAGTTTTCGGCACAGAAGCTTTTGGAATATCAAGCAAAAAAACGATCTATGAAACATACTCTGCTAAATACTACTTGTCATCGCAACGAACGCACTTGTTTAATATTGGAACCAGCCAAACCTCTCCTCAGTAATCATGGTCAATAAAAATTGGCAACCACGACCCTCAGATGAGGTTTGGCCCTGTAATCAAATCCAGCCTATGATGAAAACTGAGGAGCATTGTACTGCCACATCAGTCTTACTCATCGACAGTGCGCATCTCACGAAGCCCAGAATCTCGAATTCGCGACATTCCGCCTAGTGGTTGAACAATTAACCGTTCGGACGCAAGCGGGTGAACACCAGTGTGATTGGTGCTTACCATTGTTCTGACGACACCTGCATTGATCACGCTTCGTAGCTAATTAACACCAATGGATTTCGTGGCGACAGTAGTCTCCCCGCGTCTTCTGGTTGCCAGATGTGACGCCACTCGTAAAATTTGACTTTATCCACCGAGAGCCGTGTTCTGAACACGCCCGTCTAACGGCCATCAAAAGAGCTAGTGGATCCCAGACACGTGAATTAAAAAAACACGTCCAAATTTTGTGTGTCTCAGTTTAAGCTCATAGTTCATTCTCTCATTCATCCCGATCTTCTTTTGGAATGCCAGAAAGAACAACGCAATCTATATGCAATGCTGTCACTGCAACCGTAAGAAAATTCATTCCGTGTGGCTGCGCAGATCGACAGAATTTGCTCCACAAAAAAAATCAAGAAAAAGTTGTGTCATTTGAGAAACCCGAATTCCGACTCGGTGAACTTTATGGTAAACGGAAAACATGCGAATTCAACGGGACAAGCTTGGATGATCTAAACAAAATTCCGCGCAACATTTGAACAGCATTTGCGGATGCAAAGCATGCGATGTATGACATTTCATTCATAGAGACCAGTGAAAAATGGGTGTTTGTGGAACGAAAAACCTTGCTCAACTTTGTTTTATCTCGAGTGTCTGATTAGCAGCTTATTCCAAGAAGGGTTTTGAAACGCCGGACTGGATTGCTTTCCAATTCAAGATAATCTAGCCAGTCTTCGGCCAACGGGTCAAACGACCCTACCGAGCTCTTTGATGTTTCTGTTTGCTCTTCCAGATTTTCATCTTCTTTTATAGGTGAAATCCCAGGTTTTTGAGGTGTACACTTTGTTTCCGGAGTTTGATCAGTTTGGGTGCTGTCTGCTTCCTGTTACATTAGAAGAACAGAAGAGATGAAAACTTAATTTGGCTTTGTAATCACATGATAGCTAAAATCAACGCCATCACAAGCTAACATAAACACTTGATGAAGAGTTATTCTGTGATGAACTAGGATATAAGGATCCAAGTGTCTTTTTGCAGGCAACAATTACCACAAAATGGAGATTGAGAGAATTCGAAAGATGTGGCCACCTGCACACCCGGTCCCTCGAATCATGAATCGTTCAAACAACATGAGACATTCTTCCTTCTCAGCTACTCGTGAAGCAAAGTGAGGCCTTGCAGCGGAATCACTTATCAGAAAATGCCAACTGACCAGTTACAGACTATTGCACAAGAAAGCAAAACTCTCATTTGCATCTTAATAACAAAAACTGAACATCCACTTTCTCTTGAACGCGGCCTCCTGAACTTTCCTGGATATTCATTGAGTGTTGCTCAAGTTCAAGCAAATGCCACAAAGCGAGTCCACAACTTCCGCAAAGATTCACCTTTTCAAGCGAATTTACGAGAAGAAAACATACTACTCGCATACCTCCCCATCAGTAGTACCACCGTTACACCCATAGTTTGGTCTTTTATGCGTTGTTGGCATTATTCTGTTCATGTATTAACAGACTTACTGGTGCATGTGTAACTCACTTTTTGGGTGGATCTATGCTCTTTCGGCGTCGGCATCGTCGAGTCGAATCGCAATGAATATGCGCTAATTCTTCTGGCTCGCCATTCGGCCAGTGTGCAAAAGGACTTTCGCTTCAAGTTTTCCGGAAGGCTTTTATCCATATGCGACACTTCCATGGCCTAGATAGTTGAGGAAAGGGAATCGTTTTAAAAGCACATTGAAACATCCTGATGAACGTGAATCCATAAAATGGAATATTCATAGTTTAATCTTCATTTTCTAGTTGTTTTTTCAAGGTTAAAGTAACCACCTAATTCTTATGGCTTCCAAAGTCGTGTTTCAAGAAATCTGACTGTGATCAATAAGTCTTCCTCGGGTGCTTTACGGTTACTATAGATTATTGTACCTGTGATAATCAGTTCATGAATAACCAATTTAGTCAAATCGAATCTACACAATTAACTCATTTGAACACCCCTCTTTTGAATGAGTAGGCGAGGAGTGCACTATATTTCATCGAGGCCTCAATCAGAATGGAGGCCACCAATTAGTTTGGACTACTTAGTCCTCTACAAAGTGCGATGAGCAATCATTGATTAACCTCAATCGTTGCTTGTCATTCAGATGTAACACCCTTTTGGTGTCTTGCCACCTGAAGGAAGCAAGAGGGCTGGGATACCGCCAGGTTGCCCAAGCCTAGACAGGGGATGTCGAGAGGCAGAGGTCAGGTTCGAACCACGGACCTTCCGGTCGGTAAGTTGGCGATCTAACCACAGAGACAACTCTCCCCCTCCCCATACTACAGCATACAGCAACTCATACGTTACGGGAGAGCTTTTATTAAATGGTCCACAGGAGTATGTGTTCAACGAATCATTGCCAAACTTATGGGTTTCAAAGCGAACAAATTATTTAGTCAGCAAAACCTGTATGGTTCTTTCTCGACAAGTTCTCGCCAAATGCAAAAATTAAGTGCATGATCTCTCCCAGACTGAGCTGGGCAAGGTGCTTCTTACGATACCACTGGGTATGCACTTTTGTGCCACGCCTCACAAGACCAGCCAGACTGACCGTGATGTTCAGCAAGACATTCAACCGAACTTCTCCCATTTTCATATCAAAAAACAAACAAGTTGCATTACACTACTCACATAAGGTTGCTGAAAACCCTTCGACAGCCAACGACCGGTTTCGCCCTTCTTGGAGCTCCTCAGGTAGGCGCAGTCCCTGGGTTTCGGTCAACTTTATGTTCTACTTGAAACCAAAGTTGACAGATTTTGACAGATACACTCATGCATATCAATTCGGTTTAGACGAGCGTCTCACCTTGAACACAGTTGCATCTCTCTTTTATGATACTTTTGAGCTTGTTCCAAGTTGAAATCATTTCTGGTTGATTCGTCTCAGCGTGTCCGTTATAAATTGTGGGTCAAGTACTCAGGACCGAAATGATAGCTGCGCTGAAGTGCTACCTAAGCTTGGTGAGGTGGCGGTCAGTGTTCTAGAGGATAGAACTGATCATACTCTCACGATAAATAAGTCTTTCTGAGCGATTCATAATGCGGTAATGGGTGGGAACAAAACCGAATGGTCGAAAGGTTGGCCTCCAGTACCCCATGGGGAATGAAGTAGACCCGATGGATTGACGCAAGCACGATTACACCTGTCGGTCCAACCTGCACAGTGAGTAGGGCTCAATTAAGGTATGCAAACCAGGCTGGTCTGTGAGACCTTTTTTCGACCAGTTTGACTCATCCTATCCAGCTATTTCTATAATTGGAGCTATCAGTCTTTTGGAGGTCAAAAGAGCCACCACTGCTCTGCACTCACAATGTTTAATTCGAATCCCGCACTGAAATCTGGCAAAAGAACAGTCGCATTGCGATCCCCAGTTGGTTTATTTTCCGCTTATATATTCTGTAAAAACTGCAACGCAGCCCAATCAAGCAGATGATTTTTCATCATGTGGCGGATTATGGCTGCCAGATGGTCTCCCCTAAGTATTCTGATCTACGGGAATCAGTTCAGACGACGAAGGATTTGAGAGAGTGCTCCGTTTGGGGATGAAACTCGACCACCACAGGATACACGCTTAAAACAACCCGACTTCGTGAAGTCAACTCAGCACATGCACACTACAACATACCGCCCGAAGCAAAATACCACGTCCTGGGCTTTAGTCCAAGGTTTCTGAGGTGCGATTCTAACCGGCCTTAGTCAGCACAGACCTACTTGGAATCTACTCCGTCCAGTAAATACGTGAGCCTTATCAAGTCAAGTATCTAGGAATAAAAGGGCAGTTTAGGTGTACATTTACATCTTACTAACCGGTCTGTGGAATGGTACCTACTCATAACTTTCCAGTTCTGGAGCTCACCCCCCCCCCCCCCCTTACGTATTAAGCTAGTAAGAGTGTATGATATGACTCGACCGAAATGGCATCTTGGCCATAAATCGTAACTTTTCCCGATGAATCGTTGACCCCTGTTTTTGCATTCTGGTTCTCTCAGAAGTGCTATCTTAGTATCAGCTCTTATTTATTTTCCAAAAAAAAACCGAGAATTCTAAACACGGCCAACATAAGAGCAGCTTTCCAGAAGGGGAACACTCTGCGATCTGGACTGGTGCAATTGAAGGATGGCCTCTCGGCAAACAGAACCAGGGACTGTCTTCAAAACGACTGCGCTAAGCGTTACTGCAGGACTCGGCAGTTGCAGAGCACGCACCGGACAAGGGACTAAAAATATATTTAGAAAATATTGAGGTTTTGAAGTGCGGACTACGGTCCATGTCACATAGACTGATAGCCGAGGCGGTAGAAATCGCCGAGCATCCCAATGTTAACAGAATAGGAGGCTTGTAACTGGCAAGCGTGCGGAAAACGGTATTGGATCAGTCGAGCTGACACGTGTTGGTGTGCGGTTATCAGAAAGAAGAGTGGTCATCATCTGAATTCCACCTGAACTTATCCCCCCTTCAAAAGAAATTATCGGAGCACTCACGACCCCACAAAGACCGAGGAAATTCTACCAGTGGCAACCGAGGTGAATCATCAATCGAAGCACCGTGAAGTGGAAGATTCACGAACCAAACCGCGCTAAGCGTTACTGCAGGACTCGGCAGTTGCAGAGCACGCACCGGACAAGGGACTAAAAATATATTTAGAAAATATTGAGGTTTTGAAGTGCGGACTACGGTCCATGTCACATAGACTGATAGCCGAGGCGGTAGAAATCGCCGAGCATCCCAATGTTAACAGAATAGGAGGCTTGTAACTGGCAAGCGTGCGGAAAACGGTATTGGATCAGTCGAGCTGACACGCGTTGGTGTGCGGTTATCAGAAAGAAGAGTGGTCATCATCTGAATTCCACCTGAACTTATCCCCCCTTCAAAAGAAATTATCGGAGCACTCACGACCCCACAAAGACCGAGGAAATTCTACCAGTGGCAACCGAGGTGAGTCATCAATCGAAGCACCATGAAGTGGAAGATTAACGAACCAAACCCGATCAGAATTAATCTGAAACTCGCCCAATTCACCAAAGCAAGATTTTGACAACCACACCAACAGACAAGTGCCGTTAATTGACACTCAACACTGATCTAGTGTGATAACTTGAAGAGGACTTGCTGACTGGTTCCCTGTCTGTCTTACAACCTGGCCAATTCGGTGACCTACTCACTTGGTCTGATGGAGCTTTTGTGTCAAAGGCGAAACCCTGCCTAAATAAAAACTACCGATAGTTTACCAAGCACTTCTGAAACCCGAGATATCCTTTATCGGCCAAGCTCAAAAATGCGACCATAGGGTCAAAATATTGATTTTATGGCTATAGGTGTTGACGGGACAACCACTCAGATAGTGACCACGCCTGCACGGATGATCCACATCAATATGCCGTCCACAAAGCACTACCTAATCTTAGACCGAATCAGCCTCTTCCGATTTCTTTGAATCTCAATCGATACAAGTTGAGAAGGGTCCCATATCCTGAGTTGTACCATTTAATTTCGAACAAATTTTCCAGCCACATATATGACCCTCAAAAATTGATAGTTACCATTGGGAAGTGGATTTCCTTAAAACAATGAGAAATAACTCCTTGGGCCGTCACATGACCACCACGCTTGTTTTCAATGCGCATGAAGATCACATTATGCAGTTTTATTTTTTTATAAACACAGACATCGTGTTTCCACTTTAAAGGCCATATGAAGGGACAGACCAAATCAACTTCTTCAATACATTAGCAGAAACCCTGGAGAACCGACTCAAATTAGCGAACTTCGAGGGTTGCTTCTGATTAACTTCTGTACAATGCTCCACCAGATTTAGCGATTCCCCTTCCTAATGATCGACATAAGAGTTCTGTCGAACCTCAGGGTTTCGGGTAGATTGCTTTCCAAGATTCCAATGTAATCTGCATGTTGAATTTACACCTGACGCAATTTACTAACAATTATTCAGTTGCTGATTCCTTGCTACAAACGAATTTAGAATCTTCACTACTTATGAGCAGTAAGTAGCCAATTGTAACCTCCATCAATTTGAGGACCTGAAGTTAAGGTTATTTGTTATCCAGCAATTTGGGTTCGGAAAGCATTTAGAGAAATACAATGACAAAGTCAGGTCAATCACGCGGGTCAATCAGGACATCTCACATCTCTGTCAGGTTCCTGTAGTAAACTAAGTTAAGGGTTCTTGCGTCTGAGATCTCTTGTTCTGGTTCCGTACGGTACAGACCATATTCTCAGAGTCTAATTAAGTTTTTGTTTAGCAACCTCGCATGGCGTTTTACGACTCCTCAGTTTCATGCCAAACCACAAAGTTACCCAATGTGGTTGAACCCAAAACCTTAGGATTTCATCCATCACTTCAAAACATACAAATCAAAAAATATTTAGAGTGCTAAGATAATCGAACAGGAGATGTGACCTACTTGAACCACCGTTTCCAGTAGGCGAGGGGTCGGTAACCGTTCTGGTATTACTTCGACTACCGGTTCCTCTTGGTTTTCGGTAGTGCCCAGCTTCGCTTTCCCCGCCTGCTTAGCCATCTCTGCTTCTTTGTGCTTCTTTTTATCACGATTTAGCATGCGTCTAGATTTTTTAATGCAAATGAGAAACACACAAAAAGTGAACCCTTAAAACTAGTTGACAACAGACGCTTGTTTTTTCGGCCAAT